GGAATCCGATACAATGAAAGTAACGCCCNCGGCGTATCGGAGGTAATTTTCCGGCAGTGCCGAGTAAGTATTTCGAAAGCGAGAGCGCGGCGCATCGGAGAGGAAAAAAAAAAAAAAAAAAAAACAGCGGGAGAGGAGTTTTCCTTATGCGCGGGAGGCGCGACGTCGTTTGTCGCTGATTCGGAGAAAGTTTTGTACAGCTCGGATTGTTGATCCCCGGGCGCTTTTCCAGTGCGCGAGCGTTTCATTTTTCTTTTTTTTCCATTTGCTTATCGATTGCTGGAGTGCCAGAACACGAACGAAGCGAGGAGGCCTTTTTTTCTGCTGATGTGTTCGTTGAACCATGACAGACTCGTGCAGCTAATTGCCAACCGAGGGGACAAACTTTCCCTTGTCAATTTGCTTGTTAAGGTTACGAAAAAAAGCCAAAAGTTTGCCGCGCATGTACGTTGCTGACCATAAGCGTCAGAATTACTTTGGTGTACCCTAATATAATGTAGCAATGGAAAAGACAATGTCCGTCGACTTTAAGCATCTTCCTTTTTTTTTTTTTTTTGTTCAAACTAACATGCCTCGTATAAGATTGAGTAAGAAATAATAAGGAAGCGAAGGGGGGGAGAGAAAAAAATTTGCAAAAATATTGTACATCCGCGTGTAATGGGAATAATTTTGTCATCAGATGCGCCACGGTAGCCTCGTATACTTACGAAATATACCATGTACACCAACAACTTCGACCCTCAAGTTTTTTTTCAATTTGCCGAAAAAAAATTTCACCTTAAAAAAAAAAGGCACAATTTTTTATTTCCACGGCTCAAGGACGCTTTATTGAGCATCTCCCTCCATTACGTAACAAGAGAGCCACTCACACGCAATTTCGTGGCCCCGACACTTTTCCCAAAAAAATACGCAGCATTACATTCAACCTTCCCTGCCCCGAAAAAACCCTCCCATGCGAGAGCCAAAATTGAAAACCATAATGGGTTGCGTGAAAGAAGAAGAAAAAAAAAAAAAAAAGGAAGGAAGGAAGCAAATTAACAAAACGCGCGCGTGACACCCAACCTATGCAAGTACCCCCCGGGTATACACAGGTTTGAAAGCCAGCGAGCCCGAGCGCGAAAATTAGTCCACCAGAGTAATAATCCACTTAAGAGTCGGTCTCTCTCTCTCTTTCCGCATTCAAATTACAGGAGCAGCTCGTTCGCAGTGCTATAACTCCTATACAACGCATCGCCAGGATACGCTGGCTTTTGGTCAATTATCTTTTACTAGCGTACCTACAGAGGCGTGTCAGGTGTGTTTAGGAGAAATCCCGGGAGAAGAGAAGAATATCCGGATATAAATGTTGTATATGTACATAAAGAGCGGGGGATCGTATGTGTGACAAGTTACAACCATATCTATAATATATATGTGTACAGGGGAAAAACAAGGTGTACTTGATTGATTTTTAAAAATAATATTATAATATCTGCCCATGATGTTTGTGGTACAATGTCTGTTGCACGTGTCTTTTACGGTGAGAAGAGAATTCCGCTTTTCCGGATAGCCTTGTGAAATTTTTCCCAATTTCAGGTCCAAGCTGATACTTATTATCATAAACGGAGATTATTTTTTTTCATTTACGATTAATTGGTATATAAAGTATACATCCATCCTCGATCTTTATGTATGTAACTAAGCCACACATACACGAGTATTGAAAATTTCGTAGCCTTTCGGGGATCCTCTCGAAAATACCTGGCATTTGAAACCGTCGAAACGAAAAATCGCTCCCCAACGTTTTATCTATGCATTCGTGTAAAACGTGAAGAACCAAACGAGCTATAGAGTGCTTTTTTTTTTCATCGACATTTTTGCACAAATAACAGTTGGAGTTTTTGCGTGAGCCAAGTGTTTTAGATAGGTTTTCCGGTGCAGCGGTGTTGTGTTTGCGTGTACCGAAACGGGGAAGAAAAAAAAAAAAAAAAAAGTACGGCAAACAAACGGATTCCACTTGACTTTATGATCGAGCATGTCGAAACAAACATTCATAACCATCCACTCCGACATGCAGTTCAATCATCCCTTCAACCACCACATGCGTATATTTCGCGAAACCACCCATCACGCACTGCACCCCTGTACCATGAAACACCCATGCGAAATCCAACATCCGAAAAGTTTTCTCTTATTCATCCATCATTCCCCGTGTGTACAGCATACCTATATACTATTTTGATACTTGGCACCCAAGGGCTTACACGTACACCCATATTTGCCGTGACAAGTGTTTTCACATGTGCGCACACTACAAGTCGAGGACCCTATACTGTACAAGTATACCTATACACACGCGTTCCGTGCCGTTTCACTTATCGATGCATATATAGTCGTATATGAAATCGTCGAGGCTCCGTTGAGTCTCGTCGATGCATCCTCTCTGGGTAGTCTGGAGTATATAGCTGTATATACATATATACAAACATACACTGGTGTACGTATAATAACCCACGGTTCGCCCACGTAAATCTCTGACGTCGCTCTGTTGGACGCGACCTCGACAGGGTCGTACAGAATCTTATACGTATATACACGCGTGTGTGTATGATAGGTTTACATTGTCGTCGCTGCACAAGGGTATACACACCACTGCGTGCAGGAGTAGAGGACTCGGCTTTCAAGGATCACGAATTTCGAGATGCGCAGGGGGAGGCATATATACGAGTGGGTAATGGAATCGTCATCGTCGCGTGAAAATTCGTCTTAACGAATTTAACGCGTCGACACGTGGCAAATCCACGCGATTCTTTCCGAGAGAAATGTCGAAATAAAAAGAAAAAAAAAAAAAACCAACAAAAGAGCAGTGCGCGGCCCTTCCTCGATACAATTTGTTTCGTACTTTGTACACCTACGCACGTCAGCTACGTATAAAACCTGTCATTCTAATACATGAGAGTTGCGTACATATAATATTACTCGCAGCAAAAAGTACCCCATAAAGTATATATATCCATGTGAAGAAGAGCCGACACCGCCTGCGCACCTACATGTAATAATACACTTGTACCTGCAGTGAAAGTGCACTTATACTGTATAGGCTACTGTCGTTCGGGTTGAGAGTTAAAAGACAGGAGAAACCCGCGGTACATGCATGTAGTACGCATAAGTATGCATGCACGTGATGAAACTAGGAAATGCAAGACACTTTGGCAAATTACACCCTATACTCGGGTAACACGATTATATGACTTCTCTTTTTTTTTTCCCCTCTAAATTTGGGAAAAATTCATATCCTGCAGAGATCTTGATCCTCCATGAAAAGTCTGCGACGTGCGTAGCTGAAAAAATCGTCAGAAAAAGATAGGAGGGCTCTTTGTCCATCAGACGCATTCATTGCTCTTATAACTGATGCCTGTACAACATTCCAAAGAGGAATGGTCAACAGTTGACGCGCTTTGCTGGAGTTATTTTAAAAATTTTTTTTTAACGAGGTATACGAGCCATTTGGACTCTTAAAGTATTTAAACAGAAATGTACAATATGTATATATGTATTACGATATTTCTTGGTTAAAAATAGTTGAGACACTCAAAAAGTATAATTAAAGCCGCCTCTTGGTGATTTTAGCCTTTGCATTGAATTTCCCAACTCTTTTATATTCGATCTTTTTACATTGGACAACTGCATCATCGAAAACAATAGCATACGAGTATCGTGGCTGAATCGAAGCTCATAAATATGTCGGAGCAACGAAATTGCTTCTTTTCGTCCAATTATATTTCAATTGTATGGAGGGTATACGGATACCAGATTGGACTGCGAAACACCAAAGCGATCCTTAGACCGTTCAAGAAAGTGGAAAAAAAAAAAAAAAACGGCACGAGTCATAATGAGACACGGGAAAGCAGTTGTAATCTCTTTTGACGAAGCGAGGGGCCCACGATCCCGATGCATCAAAAACGTGTTTGTTCCGAGCGGTTTATCCAGCGGCAACGGCTCATCGAAGCGGACCAAACGGATCCTCCCGGCTGGAATGGCAGATAAAGAACAACAATCCACCCCCGTCTTCCATTGGAAAAAAAAACCTTCCTTTTTTTCCTTTTCATCCTCCTTCGCTCTCTCATTGGCTTCCTTTTTCTCGCTGTTATTTGTCTTATCATCGGGCCCAAGACCCCATCTACGCAGCAGAGCCTCCCATTGTTCGCAAAGAGGCGCAGTGCACGTGTGCGGGAATGATTGAAAAAAAAAAAACGAGTTAAATATCGTAGTAACAGGCGCGGGCCAAGAGGGAGGAGGCGTTTTCGGGGACAAAATGTAAAATCACGAGTTGGCCCGCTACATAGATAACCGGCGGACGCTCCGTGAAAGAGAAACGAAAGCGCAATCCCGGGAAGTCTCGTATCTTCGAGCCCAACGAGCCGAATCGTAGAAACGATCAACGGCTGATAACATTTATACGTATACGTACGGCGAGTATTTGTTTTTTTTTTCTCTTGCGCCTATGCATACAACAGATTGGATTTCTTTCACGCCTCGTGCCCTCCAATATAGATTTTTTTTTTCTTTTTTCTTTTCTTATATTAAAGTGCACGAACCCGTAAGGGTATGTACACAACTCCAATATAGATACCGCGATACATTATTATGCTCTGCTTAGCTCTTATGGAAGAATGCAAGTATCAACTGATAAATTAACGAAATGAAAAAAAAAACACTCGATTAAAATTACACTAAAATTACACATAGATTCTCCAACGCCAAGCTGGAATTCGAAAATACGAAACGTAAGCCAACCATGCTTATTAACTTATTTTTCGATGATATCACCGTTCCAAATTGATTCTTAATGAGGCTTCCTCCAAACGAAAGTTAGATTATCTCATATTTGAGCGCACTGAATGCGTGGCACAGTAAAAACTGGCAGTCAACGTTGGAGCTTACACCTCGTTGGTATCCGTCGCAGTTCTGGAACCACCTCGAAAAACTAGTTTTTCTGTGTTGGTAAAACTCCTCTCAAAATGAACTTAGTGAGACGAACGAAAAGCAAAAAGTCTTCCGACTCCAAGAATCGCATAACGAAGTCTTACATGTTTTTGGTAATGCGCGATTGTATTATTGTTACTATATATATATATTTTTGTTCCAACAGCCCAAGGTTACTTGTTTACACGGTTCTACCTTTGCTGCCGACTAATAGACCACTCCAAATCTCGCGACCATATGTCTCTTTGTTCCAACAATCTCGAAATCCCATTGTGGGTGCAAAAACGTAATGTAAATAAGCTGTACTGTTGTTTCAGTGGATCAAGGACATGGAGAAGGCTATAGCTTCTCAGGACGGCAAAAGTATTCAGAATTTGTTGAAAAAAGTACACGAGTACACAAAGTATGGAATATCAAAGTACACGGTGTTCCATTACCTTGTGAAGAAAAACAAAATAACGATCGTGGATTATCTGATAAAACGCGGCTGGGACGTGAATTCGGACGACAATCGACGGGAGTATCCCTTGTTGTTCCAAGCGTACAATAACGTGGAGATGACCAAAATTTTGATCAACGCCGGAGCCGAGCTAGACAATGATTTCTACGTACATGGGATGGGACCGTTGCACGTGCCCTGTTCTCTACCCGTGTACAAAGTGTTCATTGAAGCTGGCTGCGATGTGAATGCAACCGATGACTCTGGGCTCACGCCACTGCATTTCGTCACCTTCCAGCCGAATCCAAGTAAGTAGCGTTGATTTGTTCACGTGAACGTCATGGAGAACCTCGCAGTGGCAGCAAAAAAGCCATTGTCGTTTAGAAAATTCCAAAAACACCAAAGAACTAGAACTTGGCATCCAAATGAAAACTGTTCTCATCAAAGGACTTCCATTGACTCAAGGTGACTCGGGTGGAAAAAAAGCTGGAAAATGGTAGTTGCGAGAATCAATACATTTTTTGGGGCACCCAGCAAAAGGTATGTCCCTGGCCTGCCTACAGATATGTAGATCAAGCAGTGGAGGGAGAAAACTTGTAATGTTTCATCATTTTCTTCTAATTAAAGTGGTCAACTCAATCTTTTTAATATCTCAATGAACTCATTGTAGAAAAAAAATTTTTTAAAAACGTCTTTTTCAATTCTCGGCATTCATCATTTACTTCCAAAGTTATCGTCGATTTTGTGACGATTCTCAAATGAAATCGGTATACTTTATTTTTTAACAAAAAAAAAAACACCGAAGCCACCGTTAAGTCATTGAACGACTTGAAATCCTCACATTAATCCAATGATTGTAAAATATTCTAGAATCCACATTATTCCATCAGTTCTCAGCTCCTCATCATCAATGTAGATTAGTCCTATCAAATAAATCAGTATGCGCTGATAATTGAAACAGCAATGACTTGTGTTATTTAAACACTACAAAATCTGATTACACGTACACATACGCATACATAATTTTTTTTTTTTTTTTTTACCACAACGATTTTTTATGAGAATTGTACAACTTTAAGATAAGAAACCAATACAGCTATGCTGTTTCGAACGAAGCATTAACGGAATGACTGAACCACAGGTCTGGAGATAATGAGGGCCCTGTTCAATGCAGGGTGCGACTTGAACAAGCCGAGCAAACATGGATTCACGGCGTTGCACTACACGGCCAACTACATGGAGTACAAAGCAACCAAGTTCCTGCTGGAACACGGTGCCTCCGTCAACGCATTGGACCAGAACGGCCTCGACCCGCTCAGCTACTGCTTCATCGAGGAAGTCAACAACCACATGGCCCACGTGAGGGGCTGCCTCCGCCACCGCAGGAAAAGAATCACCAGCTGCGCGGACCTGATGCTCAAGTACGGGGCAAAGATCAATCACCCCAACGCCCATCTCTCGCCGCTCTACATCGTCCTGGGGGAGGCTTACCTGAAAAACCTACGCTCGGACCAGGAGGTGCTTTTTTTACTGATGCGCGGCGCGACCTTCGACTTTGATCACGAGCCGGTGAAGCGGGCCATCGCCAGTAACGAGGTGGTCGCCAAATATCTAATCAGACACGCGGCCATGTTCGACGCCCGAAACCAATGGAACGAGGGACCCAGAAATCTCCGTATCGAAGAACTCGATTACTGGATGATGCAATACTACACGTGCTGCGAGGACGAGTTGAAAAAAATGCGGGACACCCCGGTCTACAATGTCTTCACGCTTTGGAACGTCCTCCGGGACAAAAAGGCCCAGCCGTACCTCGGTTACGTCAAGGTTTTGAGGCGGTTCAAGGAACTGAACACCAGCATCAACTTCCCGATATACGACGACTTGTTGACGGAGCGCTTCAACGCGATGAGGAAGTATCAGAAGCACTTGCAGAAGGCCATGATCGGTTTGCGTTGTCTGTTACGTTTGAACTCGTCGGCCCACGCGATCATATTTGACAGGATTCTTGGTAACTTTGGCTGCGACGAGCTTGAGACTTTGGCTATGGTTGGCAAGTGCTTCTGAAGACTCCGACCGGAACGTCAAAGGACTGCGACGAATAATAATAGTTTTCGTGCCTGGTCGCCCCAAATTAGGAATAAGATGTTTACCATTCGACCGAACGTTCATCAAATTACTCAGTCATGTCGATTTTAGTTCATTTAAATACGTAAAACATCCATTATTCGTGTACGACAATGTTTAAATATATATATATATATATAGGTCATCTAAGAGCAATCAATCATAACAGCTATAGTGGTACGTGTCGTGCTTTGCCCGGACAATCATGATTTACATGATTCAACTATTTACAGTAAAACCATTTTTCCGAGTTTACGTGTCGGTCATATAATTTTACGCTCTTCCAGCAAATTTTCATTTTTTACTTCCTTTAAAAGATACATATCCTCTTCGTAATGAGTGAGCAGTGAGAATTTTACTTATTCAAAATGAATATTCCAGTGTTCTTTATTTTAAAAAGCTGCTACTACTCACGTTAAGGCTAATAAAATTTATAAATGTCCATGAAATCATCTGCTTTTATTAAAACGTACATTCATGTGAGTACACGATATTTTTTGCGTTGTGTTAATTAAGACGAAACTATTAATAACATACTCTGATTTTGTTGGTACAACAAGGCGATCAAATAAATGATAGAATTCACGAATTATTTTCAGACTCCACTGGCAAGACAAGACAAAAAGCTTGTGAGCTGTGTTCTCGAAATATTTCTTAAAAAAAAAAAAAAAAAAAATTCCAAGTCACAATGACTTGTTTGCATAAATCGATTATTTCGCTCTTGTGTACACGCCGATGTATGTATCTTTTGTATTTTGAAATAAAAAATAATTTTTAAAAAACATCAATATTATTATTCTAGCACTACCAACTTGGGAATTTCTTCCGCTGTATATATCCATCTTTACACGTAAATAAACATCTTCCGTCATTACCGCGTCTATTTGTACACGTTAGTCATAGTAATGGCCCAATTAATCAAACACGCCATACGTAAGGTATTATATCGTAATGGCCAATCGTCGGAGTAATGAATTCATCTTTCGCTTATCACCTCACGCATTACTCGTATGCCTTTATTTCTGCTACCGGGTCTTATAAAAATGACAAGCCAGTGGATCGACGCCTCCCCAATGAAATACAAAAAAATAAGAGAGGCAGGAATGGCTCTCGTTTTCCTAAATCAATCAACATTGCGGGTCGAGATATAACAAATACCTGCACATTGAAATTTCAAATTGCACATTGAAAATTCGCATTTTTTTTTTTTTTCAATACCACGTAACTAAGCATACTCCATGTGGCGTACAAAATAATTTTGAGGTCGGATAAATCGATCGACACCCAATGGTTGCGGGTCATTCGAGTGGCCTTGAAATGTCATTTCCTTCGTGTGACATTTATTGAAAAGGGTGTTGTCACCACTGTGCGTTATTCTTACGCCAACTTTTGTCGAATCGATGTTCGACCCCGACACACATTGTCAAACAACAATCCAATGAATAAGTTGCCCGGGCGATGCGTGAATAAATGACCCCAATCACTTCGAAGTGTCAAAGGACAAGGTTCGATACGATCTTATTTTCGTCTGGGTCGATAAAGGGTCCACAAATAAAATTGTCACTTGCTCGCCGCGGTGACAGTTACATGCGTATAATCGAGGTGGTATACAGTCATGAGTAAATCAACCAGAAATAGACCATCCTGCGATCGAACAGTCGGTTAAATATTTTTTAAAGCTAAAGTGCCGTAATACCAATATTTACAACCACGATAAATTTAACACATCGGACGCACAAGACGAAGTGAGCTTCTGCGCGCCGGGGTTATTTATGCATCAAGCAATCAACCTCCGACGGTAAAACAAAATTAAGTGATCCTGAATTGCTAAAGTGTAATTAAGTGAGTATCTGCAATTTTAAGTACAATGTTTTTTTTTTTTTTTTTTTTTTTTTTTTTTCTACAATGGCCCTTACCGAAATCGGAAAACATTTTTTTTACTACTAGAGTTGTTAGTACAAATCTTCAATTATATGTTCATTTGGTCGTAGTCATTGATTTGAACTGTCAATTATTTTTGTGTTTAATTGAAATGACTTTAAATTTTCAATTAGTCATAGTAATCGATGAAAAACATAAATCGCTATTGTAATTGATCATTTAGTTCAATTACTTTAATCATAAATAAAAGTAATTAACAATTTATATCAGTTGTTTTTAAAGGCGCTAAAATGAAAAAATTACATACAACTGTATTTAAAACATTTTAGTGATTAAACATTGTTTTTAAATCTTGTACTTCAAAATAAATCATTAAATCCTGCATAATACATTTAAGATATTTTAATTGAATGAGTTTTTTCAAACACGATTGTTTTCAAATTGTTTTATCAATTCACTGGTTACGATTTTGCTCATCTCTGCGTATCAGTGCGAGTGTGGGGCACCCCCACATACGTTTCAATTTGGAAAAAAAATTTCAATCGATCTATCGGAAACCATCAGCATTCACGTGGGGCACGGAGTATTCAAAGTTACACCACGCGCACTTATCATCAGCGAGAAAAACACAATTACCACCTCTAAAAATATATTTACACACATCCAGACGCCAATTTACCCGTCATCCTCTATATAACGTAGGTACACACGCATACAAGGTCGATTTTCCCAAGCGATGGCCATCATCGATAAGAAGCAAAAGAGCATCACAGAGAAAGGGGGAGGGAGTATACTCGCAGGAGAAAACATATCCGCTCGAAGTGAGAGATGCGCCTCGGCCCCGAGGGACTTTTGCTCCGTGTATACATCCATTGCGAGTATATTTTGAATGAGTGATTGGAAACCGATGGCTCGTTTTGTTAGAAATCGGCCGCAGGCCATTTAAGAGCCGATGCCGCTCTCGCTTGCTTTCGCGCTCGAGTTTAAGCTCTCGTTTGCTCGCTCGCCTTTTTTTTTGCACCTCCGCGCATACGTACATATATACGTACACGATGCGCGCTTTTGTCGAACCGATTGTCGATTCACTCGGCTCCCCCCGTACACCGATTTGTCTTTACCTACTTTCGCGATCGGTTTCCTCTTCCATATTCTCCTCTTTTTTTCCTTCCGCGCAAGGGATCTTCTCGAGTTTCAGGATGCGTTGATAGAGCGAGTTTTTTTGCCCCACAAGGGCGGGGGGGGAGGGAGGATAAGTGCCCGCGAGCTTTCTCTTTTGGTTTATTCGCGCCGGGGACTTGTGGGAAATTTTCGTATCAAGTGCACCGCGACCCGTTGACGAAATTACACCGCTTCTCTCCACACGTGCGTATATCTTCTTTCTCCCCCCCCCCCAGGAAAGTTGGGCTCTTACGATACACACTTTTTTTCGTTTTTTTTTTTCTCTTCCACAGGCCTCTAATTGACGCGTCAAGCGCTCTTAAAACTCGAACGA